TGTGTGTGTGTGTGTGTGTGTGTGTGTGTGTGTGTGTGTGTGTGTGTGTGTGTGTGTGTGTGTGTGTGTGTGTGTGTGTGTGTGTGTGTGTGTGGTAATTTGTATGAGCTGATACATGTACTATCTACTAGGGGCGCCCATGCTGCGCAGAGTGTGGTGACTTGGTTGATTAGCACACAGACTGGGCACATTGGGTGGTGAGTGGCTTTGTGGTGGATGCTCTCATTTTTGGTGCTGTTCTTTTGGTTACAGATGTGGAGGGCGGCCCCGGTGCACTGGGCCAGGAGGGTCTTGCAGGGGAGCTCGTGTGGTAAGCGTGTTGTGTGGTCCCAGGGTATGACGTCTGCCACTGTGAAGATGGTGGTGAATTTTTTGGTGCTGGGGGGCTATAGGTATACTCATCAGCACGGAGGAGGTACTAGTTGAAGGCGATGATTGCCATTTTGCCCAGGGCCTTTGTTTTTGAGCAGGGTGAGTTGGCTCCTAGGTGGAGGAGGTAGTTTGGGACAGAAAGTGGGACGCCTAGTAGCCGGGGGTGGGCCAGGGGGTCTTGCTGGGTGTATCCAGTAAGTAGTTGTTGAAGGGCTTTGGGCTAGGGAGTTTGCAGCAGTCCCAGCAGGCTTTGTTGTTCTGCCACCAGTTGGAGCTTCGTGGTGATGGTGTGCAGCAAAAGGTGGACAATTTGGGCAGCACAAACCAGTCAAGAATTGGTGTTGGGTTTTGTGTTGTGAGAGTGATGGAGTTGAATTCACTGGTTTCATTAGTCTCATCTTACCATGATACCATCTTGCTGCGCTGCTTGTTGAAGAATGAGCCTCAAGGCTTTGTTGCTTCCTTGCTGGGTGCGTTGTTGTCTCAATTGCTTGGTTTTGTCCTCTGTTGTCTGTCTGTCACTCCCAACACTCTCATAGAGTGTTTCTTATCACTTTACTAGTACATAGTTGTAATCTTGTGCACTTGATTACAAGCAAAAAGCAAGCAACTGGGCCCTCCGGTAACCACCACACACACATTCCCCCTTTTTGAATTCCTCCCCTAGAAAAACGTGGGTTATTTTTGGTGAAAAATGGGAAGAATAAGAACCCATGTTTCTAAAAAGTGTTTTTTTTTAAATAACCCACAAAATAACCCATGAATAACCCACAAATATACAGTCATCTGGGTTGATGTAGAACCAAGGATGTTAAGTATTTTACTAGTCATTAACATGATTATTTAATCACTGTTTTTAATTCTTGAAAAAAGGCCCAGCAGGTTTGTGTTTTTTTTGTGGGTTAATTTGTGGGTTATTCGTGGGTTAACCCAGGAACCCATGTTTTAAAATATTGGTTATTTTTGGTGAAAAAATAACCCACGGTTTAGAATCATGGGTTATTGGGTGATTCCCGTAAACATAGAATCTATGCTGTCTTACTTTACGAATTTATGTATACAGGAATAAGTATGTATGGACATATAATCTAAAATCTTAGATYATGGCGCGCTACATGTGCTTGATTTTGGAATATGGAATTTTGCTTGAAATTAACAGAAAATAACTGCATTCTCGCCAGCAAATATGGAGCTCGTGACTAAGGATTTTTTGAATCCTCGATTCCAAAAAAGTATGTGTTTGCATACATACTTTTGGCAGCCGTGGGCCTCCGASAACCAGAAATCTATGTATTTGTGTCTTAAATACATACTTCTATGTCTGCACGTCTGGAATCTAATTCAATTTTCTTAAAATCAATGTTTACGGGAATCACCCATTACTGTACATGGGAAAAATAACGTTTAGTTCCTAAAACGTGGGTTATTTTATTTTATTTTGAAAAAACAAGAAATCATGCCCCCGATATTCGATTTCAAAGGGGGGACGCGCGCGAGTTGGTTCCGGAGGGCCCTGGACGGGACGATTACTCCACTTTATCATCGATTATCATCGATCCGTCGCCTCCCATCAAAATCGGAGCTGAATTTCGGGAAAAACGATCACCGAATAATCTCATAAACTGGTGTCACTTGTCACAGAACTCGTCGTATTTCGTGCCGTTTTTGAATGTATTAGTCTCTATTCTTTGGAGTGCTAGATTTCAGAGGAAGAGTAGTTTTCGACAAGGATCAAAGTAGACAGTCCGGCCAAATGGCTTTGTTACCATTTTCTGCCATCACTCCATTTTTATTCTCATTCGTTGCCATAGCCAGTAACTGCATTTATCGTTCGGTACTACAATGAGGAATTTTACCAAGTTTCTATTGGTTTTCGCCGTTTTAGTCATAGTCCTCGATCTTGGATTTGTGCAAGGTTTCATTGCATGCGACAAGGGTTCTGCACTTCAGAGGGATGCGATGACGAGGGGGAAAATAAAAGTGCGAACGGTGGTAGCAATGTCTACGGTTACGCCCCCGAAGGTATCAAACTGCGCGAAAAAAGAAGTAAGAAACGACGGTGAAAATATTGGTTATGGCGGTAGTGATAATCGACACTATAAAGCAAGTGACGATGGAATTCCGCTGCAATGCCCTTCGTCGTATCCTTCCAAAACGTTTGGTGCATCGAACATCAAGGTCTCGTACCAACGAGCTGAGAAGGACGACATCAATGGTGACAGTGGCGCGCAACTGTTGCCTCTACAAAGATATCACGCTCGAAATCAAAATCAGTACAACGGGTGCACAGCGGATCAAACTATAAGAGAAACGAACGATCATCCTTTCTCTTCCGTGCAGAACAACGCGACAAATAGCGGCAGCAATTTTTCTCGCGACAATTATACCACGAAGAGGAAAACCATGTTAGTAACTCACGATATTCCCGATCTTGATTTTATCCACGATAATCTCTCCCGATTTCGGGTTTCGAAGTCATCCCAGGTTCTCTTGGAGGAATACCAAAACGAAAAACAAAGTTATCGCAAAAACTATCCATTCGATAATGAGATGATGCTTGATCAAGATTCGTCCGAAAGGGAGCGGCAGAAACAAGCGCTTTTGCTCAAGGGATATCGGCTGCGGTCCAAAATTCGAGCGGAGTGTCGTGCTTCCCTAGCCCTTTCAATCGAGGAAACGCTCAAGATCATTTACTGTGATTCCCATATCTGCGTCGTCGACAAACCGAGTGGGGTACTGAGTGTACCCGGGCACCGGCGGAACCCCTCTCTGGCCAATCTCGTTTACGACACGATTGATCCCTCGTCGTACGATACCGAAGGCAGGATCGTGAACGTCGATCAGACGGTAGTGCACCGACTCGATATGGCTACCAGTGGCATCATCGTCTATGCCCTTTCCAAGGACGCCCTGCAGAAACTCCAGGGAGATTTTCGAGACCGCAGGGTCCAGAAGACATACCAGGCCTTGGTGGAGGGACATGGTTTGCTATCGTCACGAGACAGAACGGGGGACCAATCACAAACGCTGCGTTGCTGCGGTACCACCGAGGGAGAAATCGACGTCGCCCTTGAGCGGGATCCCAAGAATCCGCCCTACATGCGCATAGCGCAGACGAGAGCCGAGAAACAATACGGCGGGGATGCCGACGAACAAAAACACAAGTTTTGGCGGGAGGCCCCCAAACCGAGCAAGACGACCTGGTCGGTCCTGTCCTACGAGCACGACAACGACGGGAGGCCACGGACGAGGCTCGAGCTGCGGCCCCACACGGGCCGGACGCACCAGTTGCGGGTCCACACCAGTCAGGTACTGGGGACCCCGATCGTAGGCGACGAGATCTATGGGAATGGCGACGGGATCGCCCCCCTTTGCCTCCACGCCCGGCAGCTCTGCCTGAAGCACCCGATCTCGGGAGCGGATATGGTCTTCGAGGCCGATCCCCCCTTTTGAGAATGGACGAGAGGGATGTTTTCGAAGGAAACCGAGACGGAACACACGGCACCCATAGCACACGCGTGGTACCTTGTAAAAGCGAAAGCACTGCACAATGCTGCCATCAATCGGTCGGGGAACATTTCGTCGTTCTGACCTTGATACGGGAGAAGAGCGATCGTGTTTGAAGCCAGACAAGCAGTGCGGGGTACGCAATAGTCGTTGGTTTCTGCATGTTGAAGGCGATGCTGGAAACTGTTCTCCCACATCGAATCTTTCGTTCTTGCATTCGTGTTTGCCACAGCCGTTACTAAGTAGGAAAATCCTACAGAACATTCCGTGCGAAGCACAGCAGAACCGTAGTACTAGATACCTTTCTTGGCCATGCGCAATGTTCGTCAATTATTGTTATTGTTGTTGTTGTTGCTACTGCTACTCGAGCTGTCGTTCGGCTCAAAGTCCACGGATTCCCCGTTGCTGTACCTCTTGAAGGAACGGGGAAGGGCCCCGTTCATGATGCGGGAGGCAATGTGGTACAAATAGCGGGCATTGTCCAGCGTGGGATAGGCCTCCTGGATGTGCTCCGAAGGGGTCATCCGGCGGGCGTTGCTAAAGAGGTTAGCAATGTTTTCGTTCAGGACGACCCTCGGGCTGGGCAGGTGCCCATAGAGCGTGGCGTAGACGATGAGGCCTTCCAGATAGGTCCCGGTGGGGGTCAGGTGGATCTCGTCCATGTGGATGAGGTTGGCCCACATGGTTGGGTTTTCCTCCCACACCAGCAAAAAGGCCAGGCCGACGGGAGCCAGCTTCGGCTGCTGGTGCTCCGGCAAGTATATGCTGATGGCCTCGGCGTACTCCCGGTAGCCCTCGTAAGTCAGGGACATGAAGGTAGGAATGTCTGTCAGCCCGGACATGTCCCGAGTGGACGGCCAGTAGGCGTGGGTGACCATAAAGACGGGCACCGCCCCCGTCTTTAGGATCCACGGAACGTAGACGTCGACCAACAGCTCCATGCTCTCCGCCCTCGGCGTGGTGCAGCAGGGTCCGCGGGACATGTCATTGATTAGTATGTAGTCCCACTTTGGAACGCCGCCGTTGAATTCGTCGTACTGGCTCTGCTTGAAAAAGTAGTAGTTGGCGCTGAGCAGGCAGGGGTTCTTACCGTCGTTTTGCAGGGCATAGGTGTCGGTGAAAGAATCCACGACGCTGTAGGTGTTGTATTCATCGTCGGCGTTGTTGTTGTTGTTGAAATCATCGACGGACGCTGCATCGTCCGCGGCATAAGTGTAATGGTAGGTCTGTTCCAACACGCGGAGGTTGCTTTGGCTCTGTGTTTCGGTTGACGGCCTGGTTATCAATTGGTGTTGTGTCTCGTGCCTCTGCGATTGGTGTTGCATTCTTCTTCTAGCTCTCTCTCGCCGCAGTTGTCTCTGGTGCCTCTGATTCCCGCCGTTGTCGTTGTTGTCATCGTTGTCGTAATCTTCGTCCTCGTCCAGGTCGTCTTCGTTGTAATCGTCGGTGTAGTAGTTGTCCGAGTATTTTTCCACGAGCCGTTCGTCTCTTCCCAGGAGCAGCTGCGGCACAGTGCAGGCACCGAAATCGTAAATGTGCGATTGCGTCGAATCCAGCTGGTACGTATATTGCTGTTGCTGCTGCGCATCGTCGTCGTAATTGTTGCCGTCGTCCCCGTTGTTGCCGTTGTAGTAGTCCATGTACTCCGTGTATGCCTCGGCCGCGCCCTCGTAGTCGGCGTTGTCGACGTTCCATATCCTGGCGTTGCCCGTGTCCCACTTGACAAACATCCCGTTGCCGTAGTACAAGTGGGATTTCAGGCTGGCACTCCCGTGCAGGCAGCTGTCCTGCGACAGGCGGCCGTTGGACATGGCCTCCAGCAGTCGCGGGAGATCGTTGTAGTACATGAGGGAGTTTCCAATCATGGCCACCCTGACCTCCCGCTCCACGCTTGGCTTCGCCGTGAGAAAAGCCAGGACCACCATCGTTCCGACGGCGATGCCCAGCCCCTGCAGGCCCATGTTGGGAGTCACTTTCATGACGCAGCGTTCTTCCTCTGGTTGAGGTGCGATACGATTCCCGCGATGTATTTCGTTGCGTTGTGTTGTGTTGTGGTATGGCGTTTTCTGTTGTACAGCTGCTCCAATTCTTGCATTGCCGCGGCGTGATTCTATCGGTTGTTCTTGTTCTATTTCTATTACAACACTCCCCCAAACACACTCAATCCGGCGAACAGCAACCCAAGAATCACCTATCGTCCACTGGATCTATGATTTCGAAAATGATTGCTCAAGCAAAGTTCTGGAAGGATGGACGATTGATTGTCGATGCGGTTGTCCTATCGTTCCGTAAATTGCAATGCGCCTCTAGTTCTTTCCAGTCCGAGGGAAGACGTCTTCGATTGTCGGTGCCCTGCTGTACCGTACGTGCAGTATGTTTTGTACGGTTCAAACCGAAAAATACTGGTAGGCCTCTCGCAAAATCCTCCATCACCAGCAATTCGTGCTATCCCGCAGCAGAAAACAGGCTCTGGGAGTTCTCGAGGAATTCGAACCTGCCTCGTTGCGGCACGACCACGCGGCACGTGCCGTCCGCGTTCCGGTTCGTCAGGCGCAAGAAGGGTCTCACCGGAAAAAACAGGAACGGTCACTTTTTCAACGGGTTCTACGTACCGGACTACGGGTAGCCCTGCGGTGCTTGCGCTGGCTGCGGAGTGGTGGCCCGTGCGCCGCGCGCTGGTCGAGCCGAAACCCATCGGAAGCTTCGATCGAGCACACCTACCATACCCGTCCCGATCGCGTCCTCTCGTTGTTGCGAAGGACAACGGTACGATCCGGTAAGATTGACCGTAGCACAGACGTGTACATACGTATTTCCCACTAGTTGCGGTTTCCCAAGGATTGAATAGAGCCCAAGAATTCTTCTTACTACCTCATAATTAAGCTATTGAGCTACAGTATTATATTTTTAGTTTCTAGCAGCAAGGAACAACAGGTATCTGATCGTACCGGTACCAGTTCTGGCCAGTATCTTTTCCCAACCAAAAGAAATTAGAGGAGAAATTCGAAATTCCATTCCGTTGCAACCACTAAACCTGTCTCCACCAAAACATGGACAAGTTCCAATAACTMTCGCCAGGAACCATCTACATTGACCTCGTCACACCACTGCTGCAAATCGGCGCTGCAATTTGCGGATCGAACGACCGGCTCGAAAATGGGCTTGCAAACAGCACCACCAAAAACAAAAACAAAAACGACACCACCAACACCACCAACCACAGCTGCTTCCGCCGAGCGGTTCTCGAGGGAACGTCCTTTCCCGTCCCGTGCCACGCTCTGCCGTGCCCTCACCGAGAGGGGCTCGCCGCGTCCCCCCATCCCGCGTCCCGGAGGACCCCGATCCACCACTTCGTCGCCCCGTGCTGCGCGGCGCTGACGCAGTAGTTGCCCGCCCCCGTTCCCAGAAGGCCCGGAAAGGGGTTGGCCTGGACGACGCAGAGTTGTCCCCGGTCGGCGAGGCAGTCGACCTCGTCCCTGTCGCTCTCGATGGCGTTCCACAGGCATCCCCGGTCGAAGAGGCCGGGATGGATTGCGCCCGCGCCCGGTGTCGATGTTGAGTCGTCGCCATCGCCGGTGCCTGTGCTTTGAGGGAAGCGGCAGTGGACGACCCCGTCGAGGGGGATCTGGTCTTCCTCGGAGAGGTCCTCGTCAAAGTCCTCCAGGGCCTGGGCCACCACCAGGTTGTCCCAGAGGGACCGCGACAGGCAGAACCCCAGGGAGGGCTCGTCGACGGTGCACCAGGTGCAGGAGTCGTCCCCCCCGCAGCCCTCCTCCCCCTTGGGCAGGCAGGAGGCGGCCCCGTCCCAAAAGGCCGCGTCCGAGGCGTCAAAGACGGGGGGTTCGCCTTCGGATTCTGCTTCGGTTTCGCTGTCGCTGTCGCTTGCGTAGCACCGGAGGTGCAGGAGCTCGTCGTGGCCGTTGGCGCCTGCGTTGGCGTTGACGAGGTCCGCCTGGGCCGTCCGAAGGCAGACGCCGGAGGAAGATCCCAGGGGGCACCAGGAGCACCCGGCCTTCGCGCAGGCTTGGTAGCCGCCGCCGGTCTCGGGGGTGGTGCAGGACCAGTCGGCCCCCGGCCCGAACTCAACGGCGAAGGAGGAGGCGGGGGGGTCCCCCGAGAGGGCCCGCAGGAAACCCCCGCCGGGAGGAGAGAGCCCCGCCGTGGCGAGCTTCGAGGCGAGCCACCGCCGGAACGAGGGCTCTGTGCGGGGGGCCTCGTCCCCGGCGGCGGCCGCGAGCAGCGCCGGGGCCAGGGCACACCAGAGCGCCAGCCCGCGGGAAGAGACGCGCATTGTCTGTCGTCTCGGTTGGTCTCTGCTGGATCCCCACCCCGGGTCCCCGGTCCGTGTCTGGTTTCTCCGCCGGTTGCTGGAGGTACGAACCGAAGAAGCTGCGGTGCGGTAGGTCGGAGGATTCTCGGTGAACGATCGATCGAGAACGGTGTCGAGCCAGAAGCAGGGAAAATGGGTACGGTACCGTACAGCAGCTGCTCGCCTGCTCCTTTCGTGCCGGGACCGGAGGCGTCCATTGTAGTACTGTACTAGCGTATCCGCACTATGAATCCTCTAGAACGAATCCTCACGGATGAAGAATCCTCTCGATCTCCGCACGCGTTCTACGCTACGTAGCGTAGGTAAGGCACTACACTCTTATGTTGTGCGGGGTACGTACGGTATGGTACGTACTTTTTTACGAGTGCATAAATACTAGGACTAGTGCTTCTTAGTACGGTAAATACGTACCTACCGGTACCTTAGTCTAATCTTGACGTTGAGAGAGCAGACACTGGATACCGAATACCAAAGAAGGGTCTCACTCTTCGTATTTATTGTTTCATGCGCGCGAAGATAGAGACGAAATCGCGCGACAAAACGGAAAACTGAACCATCGTTTCAAATTTTTTTCCCAAAATTGAACAACTAGAAAATTCGAATTTCAGAAGTCGGAGCTGCCAGAAACCTATGAACGAATCCGAGGGCTGTGGACACAGTTTTCCTCGACAGCCTCTCCCTGTTTGCCTTCGTGCCATGCATCGCATCTTGTCTTAGGCTTGCAACACCTGTTCGACGATTTCGAGATCGATCCACACCGAGAGAAAAAGCAGAGAGAACCCTCGGAGCACGCACGCACGCACGGCACAACAGAAAGAGTCGCGGTTCTCCGTCTCCGCGGCACGCCTTCCCCGAGGCATCTCGTACCTCGAGGACGGAAACCGAGCCGAGCACCGATCGCACACAGGCTTCGTCTTTCGCTCCGCCGCTGGAGGGCTCGGAACGATTCGAGCGGGGGGGGGACGATGGACCGGGGACCGACCGGATGAATCCGCTCCCGCAGCATGGATCGCTCCAAGCAAACCCCGAAGAAGAAGAACGAGAACGCCGCGGGCAGGGGTGGAACCAGCGGACCGGGAGCGCCGGCAGCAAAAACGTCGGCTCCCGGGGTGGGGAAACGAACGCGGGAGGCCAGCCGTAACGACGCAACTGCGGAAGCAAAAGCGGATGCGGGACTGCCGAAACCGACCAAGCGACCGAAAACATCCGGCCCCGCGGGTGGCAGCCACCGAGAAACGGCCGCTACACCAAAAACCAAGACCGCGGAACAAGGCACAACCAGCGCCGCCTCCACCAAGGACAAGGACAAGCCCGAGAAAGCAAAGGAAGCGGCTTCTGCGGTAGCGAGGTGGCCGGACCCAGAACCAAAGACGGATCCAACGCCCGGAAACGGCCGGGTCAGGGGGTCTCCCGAGGACCACACCAGCGCTGCCACACGGGGCATCGTCTTTCTCGAGGAACAGGTCCGGATCCACGAGGCGACCCTGCGGGCCTGGAGGCAGCGAAGGGACAAGGTTTCGGAAGAACGCCAGCGAACCGCGGCCAGGAAACGGAGGCTCCTCCTCCGACGGGACGCCCTCGTGGAGAAGCAGAGGGCCCTGGAGGACGCCAGGGCCAGGCACCTGTCCCTCCGGGAAGAACTGGTGGAGTCCCTGGCGATGAGTAGGGAACGATTGAACCGCCTGACGGCGCTGGAATCGGTGGAGAACGAGGCAGGCGATGGTAGCGAAACCGACCAAGAAACCCCTGCGCCTGGTGTTGGCGTGGCAGCCTCGCCTTCCAGAACGGAAGACAGGAAAGACGCCGGAGAAGGCACGGAAACCAGAGCCGTTCCCGACACTAATCTCCCCCGGGGGACGGGGAAACTGCCACAGAACCCGCCAGCGATCGATTATTCGGTTGCCGAGCACCGCCCGATCGCCAAGCCAGCCAGGACATTCGAGGAAGTCCTTCTATCGCGGCATCGATCAAACGATCCCGAATCCTTCGCTCCGAACCGTCGCTCGCTGTCGGCGTTTTTGCCCCACCTCGACGCGTTCCAGGTGGAAAAATGCCTGACCCTCATGCTGCGGGAAGCAAGTGCCATGGAGCACGACGGAAATTCGAGTGGTGGCAGCGACAGCGAGAACGAGAACGAAAGCGAGAACGACAATGACGTTTGGAAAAGCGCAGAAAACAAACACCCGAAAAGAAATTCCGAACAGAATCCTAGAAAGCGATTGTTGGAAAATACCTGTCTCGATGTATTGCTCTTGGTGCCTTTCGTCGACCAAAAATCTGCAGAGACAGAACCACCAGAAAACCTGCCCGCAACGGATCTGGCAAGTGTTGGTGACGACAAGGAAGGAGAGGAGCAGTGCAACGACCAAGATACCGGCACAACCTCGGAAACAGGAGAGTTTGCGGTTGCGAATTCACGTTACATAAATCCAAACATAACGCTTTGCCCGTACGAACTAGCCGGCATCTGTGCCGACGACCTCTGCCCGTACCAACACACACAAAGGACCAAGACGATTTTGCCACGCGAGCTGCTCCCGCTTCCGTCTTTGTCGTCGTTTGTATCGAAAACGGTCGAAGCCCGTACCAAACAGAATGCACTACCAGCCACACCGACGCAGTCCATGCCGATTACCGATGCAAGCCACGAAACACCGGCGATGCCTGCCAAAGAAAATGTTGGCGGAGAAGCGGAGGAGGAGGACCTGTTGGTGTTGCCACCCCTCGATAGCAGCCCCGATGACGACGGGGATGAAGCGATGACTGAGACGGGAGGAAACAGTCCTGGCAACAAGGGCAACGGCGACTCTGGCAGCGAAATCGACTCTGCCGACGAGTGGGGAGATTACTTCTCACCAACGGTTGGACCCTCGGGAGCGACCGAGGCGGCCAATCCGGGACGTCGATCCAGGAACAACGATTGGTTTTGGTGGAGTGCCCGTCTAGCAATCGGTGGAGTTGGCAAAGCCGAACACACGGAAGCGATTCCAAGGGCACGGCCCGAAAAACGAGAACTATCCATTCGAGAGATACTAAAAGAAACGTTTGGCATTTTTATACGCGAACACCAAGATTCGAAGGCTTCGAAGGATGCTACGATTTCGAATGGAGAAGAATCCTCGTCCACGAGCTGCTACGAAAGACTGGAAGTAAAAGGTGCACCCGTTCCGAGTCATTGTGGTTCTCGCAGTGAGATCATGCTGCGAAACATGGAGTTTTTTGGTCGACTGGTCGATGCATCCCGTCTCGCTCTGCACGGAGGACTCGATTCCGTTGCTTTTGCACTTTATCAAGAACTGAGGCGATCCCATACGGTGCAAGACGGGTCACTGGAGAAACTGATAGATCTGGTGGGTGCTCAGATCAATTTCTGTCGATTCTACGGGAGAGAATCTCGCGTTTCGTTTTTCCAAGCTGCATTTGCGTCGCAAGCAGGGCTTTCGATAGCATCCTGGTGCGCAGCCGGCTATGGAAGGATGCACGAGAGCGGTACGACAATGGCGCTCTTTTGCAGCGCGTGCTGGGAAATCTTGGGCCATCCCGTAGCAGTGGAAAGAACAGCCGATTCCGATCCATTTGATGGGGACACACTGAAAGAGCATTTTTGGAATCAACACGGAACAGTTCGGGACGGCGTGAGTGGCATTCGGTCGGACACCGACAATCCTTCAACAAACACAGCTGTCGACGCACCGTGGAATTTGCATTCCATCATCCGGTGGGCTCTGTCGAACGCCTCCATTCCTTTGTCTAACTCTCGAGAGGTATCGGTGGAGCAGGTTGGAGAAAGACTGAATGCAACCTGGTTGACAGCCGTTACCTTTCTGAACGAATACGAAGACCAACGACGCAGTGATGACAATGCTTCTCCCCAAGTAGAGAAATCCAATTGGGATCTACAATGCCTCAAGGTTGCAATCGTCGTCGGATATGCAATATTTGGGGCACTGGCAAATTTTACCACTACTGTCGTGGAGACCAGTGAAGGCAGGCGACCGATTCTCTCGGTAGGTAATCTGGCTGCATGGACCGTTTTGGACGGAGCCGTGGCAAGGATCACAAAAGGTCTGAGAAAACGATTTACCAATTCAACCCCGTTGATGGATGCCATTCTGGCACCCATTTATGCCTGTAGCATTGCCTCGTCCTCCTTCCTTCGCAACTATTCCGCGGCACACCACCGTTTGACGGAATGCCTGGGAGAGGGATTCCGGGCGCACGGGACTGGCATCGGTGACCCGTCCCTCGGTGTGCTAGCTTACTCCGAGCTTCTGTGGTCTCAATTGGTGCAACTGCGCATGAGCCTGCCCAACGACTCGCCCCCGCATGCCACGAAGGATTCCTCCGTGGCTGGTTGCGATCTCACGGCTTCCGGTGCCAAGCAAGCAGATTCAGCGAGAGACAAGAGAAACGAAGGGTTTCCCTGGGAGCCATCGCAGGCTGTGAAGGTAGAAAACAAACACCTAGTTGCCAAGCTGAGATCCAGGGGGATTCTCTTGCGGCACGTTGTATTGTGGGGTGATTGGTTGCTTTTGTCATCACTGCAGAACATATCCGAACGCAACAAACTTCTTCCCTCGGGGGTCCGGAGCGAGGACCGGACCCTGGATTTCGGTTTCGACCTGATTCGGTCTCGGAAGAGGAGCCATAGCCCAGCCGACAATCCCCGTCGTGGTTCTGGCCATCAATATCCCCCCCCTCCGCCTCTTCCCCAATTACCTCTCCAGCTGCTCCACCTCGGTCATTCCATCCAAGTCCTCAACCTGGACCGGTGCAGTCTCGATCGACTTCCTAGATCCTTTGGTCTCTATTTTCCCAATCTCAAGGAGCTTATTCTCTCGAACAATAATCTGAGCGAGCTCCCTGAATCCTTTAGAGGGCTGACTGAACATATGACATCTCTCGAGGTATTCAACGCAGCCCGCAACCAGCTCACATCGCTCCCAGCCACTATGTTTTCCCACGCCGCCACTGCCGCCTTGTCTTCTTCGTCGCCGCCGCCTCTCAAACTTCTGGATCTCTCCGAAAACAGACTGTCGGCACTGCCCTCCCTTGTAAACCTTGTCCACCTAGAGATATTGAGGGTGGGGGCGAATCAGCTGATCGAAATAAGCCCAGCCGACTGGTCTCGTCTGGTTCTCAAAAGGCCGTCCCTAAGGCAGCTGTCGTGTGACCACCAAGGGGAAAGTCAACCAACGAAAAGGGACAAATGCCACGATGCATTGCATTCTGATGCATCGCGGCGAAACAGACCAGAGACTTGGGGCGTTGTCAAGTTCACTACGAACACCGAATCAATCGGCCATGGAGTGAATAGATCGGGCCCGGCAACCAAAAACGACTAACGTAGTTTATAAATGACAAAGCCGTACAACCGATGCGCATCCAGATTGTTGCAAAACTGTATTATCTACTATTTTGCGTTAATGAAAGAAGTTTCTACCGTTCATCTACTATTCGTCGATCGATCTGTCGGTGTTGTGCTAGTAGAGATCCTTGACAACAATACCAACTACCGAACAACTATAAGTTAGTAAAAGGTTTGTGTGGCGCTCTGCTGCTGGCAGTTTTGCAATTGCTCGTAAAGAAAGGAGCACGCTTGGGCATCCCCGTTGCTGGACTTGAGGCAGTCAAAAAACAATTGCTTGTCGTTGGAACAGACCCCGTTGTCCGCGGGGGCCGCCATTTGCTGCGGCTGGGCGGCAGGGGCGGCGGCGTGGTCGCTGCCGCTGCTGCTTCCTCCGCTCATGGCTCCGACGGCGGCACCCACGGCCTGGTGGGCAATGGCGCTACCGGTTCCAAAGGCCATTCCCTGGGCAATGGTCGATCCGATTCCCGAGAGCATGCCGCCTCCGCGGGATTGCTGCTGCATGGGAGCGGGGGCCGACGCCGCGGGAGCGGGGGCGGGGGTTGCCTTTGTGGATGCGGGGCGGGATGGTGGGGGGGAAGGACGGGCTGCGGGCCTGCGAGCACCCATGCCACCTCCTCTTCGACCTCTCTGTGGGTCGAAGGGGTGGAACGCGGCGCATGTATTCGTACCGTWGCCACATCGGGTGCATGGGGCAGTTGTGTTCGCAACGGCATCAACGACAAAAAAGCACGACAAGATGAGAACGAGGCGGGAAGCAGCGACGAAGTCGTTGCGCAGACTACTTGTTTCTTCCAAAAAGACCTGGTGGGCCGTCACCAAGATACTCCAGAAACAGATGTTTCGTGGCTGGATCCCAGAGGTTTTGGCTCCTCAGATCGATTCAATCGTGAAGTTCTTGTCATGGCAGACACTATGGCATCGTTGTTGGTAAACTTACAGCCATTGTATTAAAGTTCGTTTATTAAAAGAAAAAGAAAGGTAATGTTTCTTCCTTCGGAAGTTGTGTCTGTGCAGGTGAGGCTACGAGTACCCGATTGCATCTCGTTGGAACGAAAACGATTCTCATGATTCACGGCGAGATCTGCCGACTGCCGATCGTCCAGTGGGTTTTTCGGTTGTGGATTGTTGTTTGCCCGGTTTTCGTAGAGCTTCGAAGAGATGAGCGAGAGAAACCCTAACTTATGTGCGCAGAGCGCGCGCGAAATAAATAGCATGGTGCTGATTCAGCAATATTAACGGACGTGGGACAGACGTTACATGAATAATGCTACTGCCGTTTTCGTACCGGCAGAAAGGTCATACCGTAGAATAGTAGAAGTAATTGCACTGTACTTGTTGTAACGTACGATACGTACTGTACGGTTCCGTAATTCGTACTAGTAGCAGTTAGCAGAAACGGGTGGTAGTAGTAGTAGTCGTACTAGTCGTACTTCGTATTGGATCGAAATGAAGTTTGATGTAGGTTAGTTTAGTAGAAATCGTAATCGTAGCTGCTACGGAAGGTCATGCTCAACATCACACTCACTTTGAATCAACGGAGCTCGGAATATTTACTTGTACTAGTAGTATTCTTGCTAGCTGACCTTCTTGTGGTCCAAACAGCATCCGTCGTTTTATAATCTTGCATTAGAAGAAAACGATGACAACACAATCCATTGAGCGATGCAATCATGCTCAACTAATGTTTCTCTCGTTCGTATAATGTCAGTTTCTCACGTAGCAACCTCTTTCAAGCGTGTCAGATTGTTTAAATTTGATGTGTGTTAGTGTGATTTATTTGTTGTTTATTATGTAAAACAGCTTTGGTCGTTTGTTCAAATTTGGTGATTTTCCAAAACCAGTATTCGCTTTGTTGCGGTCGAGAAACGAAAAATATAGAAGCAAATCCAATCGACGACCCTGCGATCGATCGATTGATTTATCTATCCATCCATTCATCCATTCGTCAATCGATCATAAAGTATTCTACCAGATCCCTCGCAGAAACAACCCCAACCAGCCGTTCCGATTCGTCCAGAACGAACAATCGATTGAACCTAAGCTGCGCAAAGTATTCAAAGATGCTCTGCAACGTGTGCGCCGTGCTGCAAGAATGCATGGCGTCGGGCGTAGTCACATCCGTCCGTTGCTGCTCCAGGACGTCACTCAGGGTCAGATCGAGATTGGCCACCGCATCCTCGGCGTCCGTCGCCCGGGTCAAAAAGGTAATGTCGGATCTCGAGTAGACACCGATCAACCGGTCCGTTGCCACGTCGACGACCGGCAGGGCGGATAACTCGTGCTCGTGCATCAATTCTAGAGCCCGCGCCAGGCTTTCGTCGGGTCCGACCTTTACGAGGTGTTCGTGGTAGGTTCCAATCTTAAGATCGTAAATCGAATCGTCGAAAAGGCGCCGTGTTTCGCGAAAGTGGGTCACCAGGTGCTCCAGAATGTTCGTGTATGTGATGCATGCCAAGACACGCATGTCCTCTGGCATGACAATTGGCAAAAAATCCAAGCGGGTTCTGCTGTTGGTGATACTGTTGTTGTTGTTTAGGTTCGTTCCCTTCGCTTCGTCGTTTACCCCATCGATGGCGTCCGCAGCATTTGTGGATTCCTTGTTGCTGCTATTGTTGCTGTTATTCTTTGAATGTTTGCTACTAGAGGAATGCGCCAGGAGAAGCTTACATGCCTGTTTTAGGCTGGTGGAAGAATCGGCAGAGGGAAACCCAAATGTTAGATTCACGGCTTCGGAAATGGACGGATCCTGTATCATGTTTGCGATCGATCTAGTAGCAAGACTGCCGACGTCGCCGTTCGTGCGTTTGAAGTGCCGCAATATGTCAATGAAATCCGTCACCTTCAACAGACCGACAAATCGGCACTGAGTAGGGTCCCACAAGGGAGCGGCCTGCATGTCTGTTGACATATGACATGATTATGGGATATTTTGAACGATCCATTGGTTAATTTTCATGTTCATAATCATTGCGTTTTCGAGAGCGGTAACAATAATTCAATGTTTACACGACGACGCCAAATATGGGATTTTACGCATGATGAACGTCAGACAAGTAGGAGAAAGAAATAAAGGTAGATATGGGTGAGCGAGTCAAGTGGTAGTTAATATATTGGCAGCTATCAAAAAAAGACATTAGGCCACAAGAAATCAGCTGCCCAATCGCCTACAGCAATATTCACTGTCGTTTTTGATGCATGCTTTCACTTCAGGACACTGCACTGGCTCTTTACGCACCGTGTTCGACCAAGGCATAAAAGGCAAGCTGAATGGGAATCCGGGTGTCAAAGACAACAACTTTGCCGCTGGCCCTCAGGACACTGAAACAATTGTGTGAATCGAGAAATGCACTAATGGCTTGTCGCCCGGCTTTCCGTACGACCTCGGATTCGTTCGCCAATTGCAGGCTCGGTCCCACCGGTAAATTGTCGGCCCCCGTCAAAGCATTGTGTTGTAGATGCTGTTGTTGATGATGAAGATCCATGATTGTGTCAATACAACTATTTCCCGATAAGCGGTGACTTGGTGAATGATGTTTTTTCTAACACTTTCTGCGTTGAGTTTTTTCAGATCTCCAATGATTGTTATTCAAATGTGCATTCACCAGAACCGCCACGACAACAGCGAATCCAGCACTAATGAACAAAGTTTAAGGTATGTGCGGTATGTTATCGCTTTGGTCTATTTTGCATCTGATATTGATTGGAGACGCATCCAAAGTGAGCAAGAAGTGTCTCGTTGTGTGTATTTGTATGCGTTTTGTGTTGCGAGGGGATGCAGAGGCTGTGGAGAATAATCTTATTCTATCGCATCGGATTATTATCGGTCATGAGAGAAAAAGGTTGTCAAAAAGCTCTGAAGAACCAACTTTCAACTCGGGGAGGACGACATCTTGTTGATTAGGCTAATTACTAGTTTTTACGTAGAGGTACCGTATTTGTAATTTCTACTGGATTAGTACTCGGAGAGTTCGGTACCTGGTACGGGACAATCGGACGAGTTTTCAATTGCTCGAGGGATAAGATGATTTTCTTACACGTATGGACCGTCAGATTTTGATTCTTCGCGCACCGCGCGCTTGTTTGGAACAAAAAGAATGTGGACTGTTCCTTCTTTCCTTCCTTTGAAAAACCCTTTCTTTCTGTGGAACAACAAAATTTGAACCTTGACATCTGCCGCACAATTATTTGGAAGCGTCATCGAAGAAGAATCAATCAATCAGGCCCAAATTTTTTCATCAAAACCACAAAATCGTGAACAAAATATCCGTTCTTGATGATGAAAATAAACAGCGATGTTCACCGTATGAGTTGAGTATGAGAGTTCAGACAACGCCACGAGCAAGCATACAAGCTTCTCGATATTGTGACTTTTTCAGATGAAATTCATTGCCCCCGCAAATCGCATCATGCTCATCACCTTGTGAAAGAAACGAGTTTTCGTTGTGGGAGTGATGGAACGATCGATTCTTTCCTCGGTTTCGTGAGTAGATGTAACAATCACACTTGAATACAAGAAGAGAAATTCATTTCTTCAACCATACAATCACTTTCACACCGTGCAACAACAGAAGGAAAGGAAGAAAACTCACTATTTGCCGCAATATTCGACAATAAAATCTAGCGATTCTTTGGACCATCGCACATACTGAAATAAAATTACTGAAAGTTGGAAACGAGTGACCGTAAATGAAAGAGAAAGCCCTCTATTTATGTTTCCAAAAACTGAATCGTTTGACCCGAGAAATTCAAGGAAATACATCTTATTTTCCATTCTATAATCTGCCTTCTAGACCAATGTTTGTTGAACGAAGGGGTTGTAGATCGAATGCTGAAACCCTGCTTGCTTAAACGACGCCAAATTGAAGCGTAGTACCAACCATAAACGCTGAAAACAGTGTTATGGTGACTTGCAAGCAGCAGTTTTGCTCGGCCAGTTTGGGACAACTCTGGATGAACAAATGCTTGGTTAGCCGTCTAATTGTTGAAACAGTTCGACACAGTGCGATAGATTGGATGGGAAGCACTTGTTACTAACAAGTTTCAAATTATTGCAATAATTCAACTAGTAAAGAAGGCACAAAAAAGTGTAGCTGAGAGAAAAATTCCCTTGCGCTAGTGCTTGCCACAATATTCAATGCATTCTTGGCCATATTTCTTCTAGCACCAGTACCTAGTACTAGTACCACACCATGGACCGGGCACTTGAAATATAATTATGTATTACTGTGTCACCAGTTTATTATGATAGCTACTTGTGGCTTCTGAGACTCTGCTACAACTAGTTTCTAGATAGATGCTAGTATTCCTTTAGAAGCAGAGTCGTGACCCTTTGATTGCATTGGTCCAGAAACTACTAGAGACACCATCTTCCTCGTCCAAATGAATTCAGGAGCTCTCTTCAAAGGCAAGAGGGGGAGAAGGGTGCTAATGAAGAGGAGACCAGCAAATATGTTGACTTGTTGTCATTTATATCCTCCTTGTTGTGCAATCATCCTGGTGTCTGGAGCTGGTGGTGGTGTTCTTCTTGCAGCACAAATCTGAGGAGCAGTAGTACTAATTTCAAAACTCCAATCTGATTGGACAAGGACTGCTGCTGGTACTAACTAGTAAGCATAAGTGCACTAAGGATCCCTTTGGTTCATTTCTTATTGATTGATTTGGCAACTTTTCGTACTGCCAATGGTTGTGTTGTTAACAGCTGTTATCCTCTAAAATGGTGTATTTTTGCATCCAATTGAATTCGCATATGTACCGTAAAAACGGGATTGACAATCGAGGTGCGAAATTTTGTTAATGCAGACTACTCCAAATGAATCAAGTGCAATATTTGAATGTTACAATACCCCTTAATCAAGAATACGTTCAGGTCATATGGAAGACATCATCCGTGAAAACGTCGAAATGTCACAACTAGTCGATAAAAATAGTTGCTTCCGCATTTTACGTGATTTGGAAGTCATCTTTTGAAGGGCTTTTAATATATTAAAAACTGACTGCAACCGAGTTTGACCAATGAAACGAAACAAAAATTCAAATTACTAGTAGTCGCAGGACGATACTGTGCGATGCTGGTACAAATAACAGTACTACGAGCACGTAGCACTCATACTCGTGCCTAATGGATCTCTCCAATGTTCCGAGCTTGGTTCGCTTTCTGGTCGATCCTGATTCTTGCTGACCGCATGACAAATAATGCCACTTCTAAGCCATCCCAAAGTGTATTCCATACAATACGCATACCGGTACCATTAAATTGTTCAGAAGAGAGGCCGCAACTCAGGAAGAGACCGAACTCCAAACAAAGGACAAAAGCAATTCCGGTGCAATTCAGTGCCGTTTTCTGAAGAAATAGAGAGACGAGTCGATTCTGATTTTCATTCGCAGCACTGTACACATCCACAGAGCAATCATCATGTCGACACAGGTAATTGACTGGGACGAGGCCATGCAACAATGCGGCGAAGACGAAGAGTTTCTTCGGGAGCTCCTGGGAGATCTTCGTGACGAAACCAACACGCAAATGGCAAAGATGGAAGAAGTCATACGGGTATGTAGAGCATATCGCGTGTCGCTTTAATCTTGCTGCAAGAACGAACGACAGTTTTTGTCCCTAGAAATATTAGCCTCCTGACTCGCAGTCGTACTCTCTCGAGTCATATTTTCTGATTGGTACACCGTGCTATTGCAATCGATTTCTCTAACATAGCCTTACTACATTTTTCGACAAACTGATTCGGAATGACAACGAAATACTGAATATAATGGAATGTCAAAAATCATCCTCTCGCCGCAACACCCAAAAACTGTGATAAATTTGCTGTCGGACCTTAAAGAATCCAACCGGATCTCCCTTCGTGGAACTGCATCGCGCGGCGCACGTCATTAAAGGAGCTGCTTCGAACCTGATGTGCTCGCAGCTCCGTGATACTGCCCTGGCATTGGAATCAGCCGCCACGAGCGCTGCCAACGCCCCTGATGGGGCAACAAACCCGGCCGTCATCGATACAGTCAAAGCGAAATTTGAAGAGCTGAAGAATGCCGTGTGCCTTTATAACGCCCATCTCACGTCGTTGAATGTATAGGCCATAATCATCTTACAATAGCATGGAAACGATGATTGGTTCATTATTCTAAATTGGTTTTGCGACGATTGGTTTATCGATCGACGTTGAGATGAGAATAATGTGGATATTCAGAGAGATTGAGGATGGAATGCCTCCAAATAATTGAAAGGTGTGAAAGGATAAAGTTTCAAGCGGCCTCCTGCCGCGTCCATATTTTTGACATTGGTTTTCAGAAAGGAAGTGCCCAATGGAAATTGAACACTTAAAATAGGAAAGAACACTCCAATCTAACACAAGTGATCAGCCCAGAAAATTGGAATCAGGAATGAAGTATTTGTAGTAGAGCGATGAATATATTGTTTTATAATGCCTCCGAAACCGGCGGGCACTAGAGCTTACATGTTTGATTTTTGGGTTCAAATTTCTCATTGAATATCAGTACACTACAAGCTAGAAATACGAGATAAAATTCTTCGTAGAATCGTTTGGTGCTCGTACCAAAAGGGAAAATCCACCTCCCTGGCCTGCCTGGCCCTCATAAAAGCATATTAAGCACCAAGCTAATGCTCCCATCAACCAGTCCCCAGCTGGTGGCATTTTGCCTCAGCTGGATCCATCCCCAGCTCCTCCAGAAGTATCTTCTTCCTGTCTTCTTGAACTTATTGTTTCCGACATTTGTGCTGGAGAGCAACAACACCAACCCAAGCCCCCAGTATTCAATCAAGATCTTCTTTTACAGAACAACGCCTGGAGTTTGTGCTTCACACACTCAATTTACTGTAGAAGATTTCCCAGCCTCAGCTCCAAGCACCACTTCCAGTATTTTTATGGACCAGAAGAAGCACCAGTATTTTCTGGTCACAATGTTATTGTTTCCAACAATCACGTTGGACAGCAACAACAACAACCCCAGTCCCCATTAAAGCACTCCAACCAAGATGATGCTGATAAGATTAGCATCACTCCTCCCCAGTATCCCCCACCAGCTGATCGCAGTTTGCTTCAACTGGATCCATCCTCAGCTCCTCCAGAAGTATTTTCTGGTCACAAGAATATTTTTGTTTCTTCTGACATTTGTGCCAGACAGCAACAACAGCAACA